TAAATATATATATATTATATACATATATATATAAGGTCTCTCTTTGCCAGTAGTAAAATGTATCTTGAAGAAAAGAGGTTACGGACATACCCATCTACAGCAGCCATGCCCCTGTGCCTGGGATCCACAAGACAAGTACACGCGTGCACAGTGACTATTTTCCAGGATTTCCAAAGTCCAGTCATTTCTAATGCCAGCAAGGAGAGTTTCCAAATTTCTTTTTTCCTGTCCTCCCTCCCCTGAGCTCTGCAGGCATGAGCTGCTCTCCCTCCCCTCCCTCCCTATCTCTTCCTATTAGAAATGTCACTATCCCCATCTGCTGCCCCTGAACTCCCTGTGCTGGCAGGCAGAATGAAGCAGCTGAAGTCATTCAGCATAATGTGCTACACTGACACTTCAAAGGCAACTACTAGCATTTTCTGCCGAGAAAACAACTGTGCAAAAGGGATTAATGCTGCTATGTTTCTCTTTTGATGACTGTAACACAAATCAGGACGCATCTCCTGCATCATCAAGCCCAACTCCTTCTTGCTGCAGGCACCGTGTAGTTTACTTGTTCAGTATGAGTGTGTGTGCTTTTTACCAGCTAAGCTAACTGGTGACTGAGAGATTGCTTATGCCTTCCAGTACATCCCTGGAAACAAGATATGCTATTGTAATACCTGAATTACGTGGAATTTTTTTGTGTGTGTGTCTATCTCAAATGATGCTACAATTTCAGCCAGCAAATGTATATGTTATTGCAGTCAGCAGGACTTCTCTCATTTGAAATTATGCACGCTTTACTGTTTTTATCAAATGAAACTGCAATAACACAGCACAGAAAGTGTGCGCTCCTATTGGAAAACACATTTTACAGGAACTGCTTCTTCTGGTAATTACATATTTGGCGACAGAGGGTGAGGGGGTGAAGAAAGGCTATTTTCCCATCTGCAGCAAATCCTGACAGCCGCTTAAAAACAACAGTAATGAGGGAGAGAAAAAGAGATATTTGTGAAGCCTTTAGATATTAGTTTCAGATAAGTATGCCACAGACGAGGCCTTACTTGGTTTATTTTGGTTTACAGGGGAGGGGGCTTTGCACAGCTCACTGGAACTCCTGGCAAAATACAGGTATCTTGGGATGTGTAGGTCTCACTGAGTATTGTAAGCAAGAAATACTTAGTGAATGGTTTACTTCACAGAATTCACACTATTGAAACTCTGTTCAGAGCCAGGAAATGAAGAAGTAAAAAATGGATCAAAGTTTCCTGACCCAGTAAATTGAAGAAAAGGGAAACATTCAGATCAGTCTTTACTGAGACCAAGTAATTCACCTCATCCTAAGTAGACTCCTCTTTGCTGTAGAGCCCCGAGGAAAGGCTCAGGAAAGTTTGGAAAGGAAAAAAGTAATTGTCAACTCAGGACAATAGCAGAAGAAAGGAAAGCCTTGTAACAGCTCTGTCCTGGGAACAAGCAACGCAGCGCAAAGCTCTGCCTTCAGCTGTGCCCTTCACCCTAGAGTATTGAGGTGATTTCGGGGTAAGCTGTTTGCCTGATCTTACACCTTACAAAAACCTGTCTCCTCTTGTCCATGGGGTAACGTGGCGTGACAGCCACCAGCACTGCAATAAGTGGAAACCTTCAGTCATGCGCAGGAGAGAGCTTGAGGCCTTTGAAAGGTCTTTGCTTTATAAAGTTGTGGCTGCTGTGTTCTGCCTCGCAATCCTATCTGCTGGCATGTGTAATCACAACCCTTCAGATGAAGATCTACACTATAAAAGTCTGCAATGCAAGTTACTGAATACATATGTTTATCTGTAAATGTCCCTATTTAGATAGAGAAGTTCTATTTCTACCTTTACATATACTGTAAATTTTCTGTAACATCTATAAGGCATTAAAATGTGTGCTTATGAAAAATAGAGTATGTGAATGTCCGTGATTTCCAGGAGCTGTTAGTCTCTCCTACCTGTGGTACTTGCTGCTTAATAAACAAAACATTTCTTCTAACATCCTGAATAATTTAGGGTAGCAAAAATCTCAGAACACGTTGTCACTAAACACTATTTTGAGGCTTCACCTGGTGGTTGCTGCACACTGTGAAATGGGTACACAGGGACATCACACAGTAAGACTATTCTCTAGACCAGTAATACTATTTGAAATGAGTAAAATAGAAGAAGAAAAGTGGGAATTGGTTATCAGGCTCTCTGGCTGCTTTTTGATTGATATTTTAGATTAAGAGGAAACTGTTTGCAGCTCTAGTAACTTGGTTCAAACATAAGCAGGAGCTGCTGTGATACTCCATCACGGACTGCTCCTGGAATGGTTTGTGAACTGAATGCAAGCACAGATGCTTTGCCATTGCCACTTGGATGTAATTGTGGCTTCATGTCTCCGCCATATACAGTTCTACTTCTTATATTTTTATTGCCTTTTGATGATTTTGCTTTAGGTTGCCAAATGAGCTATATTGAAACAAATTTTTAAATGGATTATCTACATACTTGGGTGTGGGCTTTTTGTTGAGGGTTGTTTTTTTTTTCTGATACCCAGTACGAAAAATGTCTTTGCATGTAAAGTGAGATTAAAAGCTTCACTTTGCTGATTTTCACACCTGGTATTTAGCAGCCTGAAAGAGGGTTGATTTGCTCTAGGTTTTCATTTTTTTCAGGCATTTGGAAGCAATCTGCTAGACACAGCACGACATAACAGCCAGCACAACGCACCCCTTCAACAGCGGCCTGTTCATTAGAGAAAAGCATCTGAACTCACTAAGTAACTGCTGGCTGGGGGCTGAGGACCAAAAGAGGACATGGCATCCTAATGTCAAGGAGGGCACCTGTGTGAAGGCAGGAAACATCTGTACAGTGCACCGGTCAGCTGTCTATCACCATACATTGGCACCAAAGCGCCATGAAGCCTGAAAGGATGCCAGCTCTCTTCCTAAGGACCAAATCTTATACTCCATCAAGATCTTACCGAAGGTCTCAGATGTGGAGGCGCAGCAGACAGGGTACTGAACATCAGGCTGCCCAAGAGGCAGAAGCCACTACAGGAGCTTTAGACATGCTTTTGGTAACGGAGAAAAAGATCAACCTGTTGGGCAATGACTGTCCTCCTCCTTCTGAAGGAGACAGCTTGTGTAGTCTCTGCCCCTCAGACTCTGAGCAAGAGCTAAAAACATGCTATGGAGTTGTGGTTACAGCCCTGGACCCTGGAGAGCTAAATTCAGCCATACCATATCAGTGTACCTAGAAACACGTTCCACTTTGGATGTTATTCACATCAGCTAGTACCACATGACAAATCGTTACTCCTCTGGTTCAGCTTGGTGCAAGTAGGGCAGAACATTAGGAAACCTCTAAAGATAATCACAAAATAACATGAGAATAAAAAACATTTCTCAAATTGATTGTACAATAAGTTTTATTATCAAAACAAAACAAAACAACAGGGTTCCCAGATTCAAATGCTGTTATATTTTGAGTACTGGAGAACTTCTGATTCTTGCACTTCAAATCTTCTTCTATTAGTTCACCACAGTCTGAAGGACTCAACTTTTTCATAACTCAAGGCAGAGCACTGAAATGCAGTCGTCAGCCTGACATCCAGTCAGGGTTATTCTGTGGATTAATCAGGATGCCTGATTCCCAGAGATTTTGTGCACATTGGCTAAGCATCTGACTACAGCAGTGCTATAAATGGATAAGACGTGTAGCTTTCCAGACAGTACACGGTGTATTCTACCTCAGGAAAATTAGAGTGCTCATTATTTTGCAGCTTGGATTCCAGTTGCTTGCAGAAGCAACCTTCTTATTCTGGAATTATTTGAAACGTTTGTCGCATTCAGGAAGCACCTCATTTTACTATCATAGTGAAATTCAAGCATATGGCCATATTATTCTCAGAATCATCAGAGAATCCTCGCAAAATAATGCTATAATTACCCTAAAACAAGCAAGGAAAAAAAAAAAAGAAAATTAGTGCATAATGCTGCCTACTGTTGTCCAAGTAGCTGCTTGGAATGGTTCTGGTGATTTCTGTTAGGACTGAAAGATTCCCATCAGGGACTGTTACAATGGGCATATTCAGATATATGTGTATATAAAAAAATACTGCTCAACTTTCTTCTCATGACCAGAGTTCTAAGGAACAGCAGTAGGCTGTGGTCCAGCTCGCACTTGTCAGGGTCCTCTCTCAAACCAGTGTCCTGTGCTCCCAAGGGTGGCCTGCTCCCCGTTCCAGCGCTGTTCTCTTGAGCAATGTTTCTGACTCCACAAACAGGAATTATCTGAGTTCATATACCAGGCTGCATTCTGCAGCAATGGGCTTTTTTGCTCCCACTGTGAGGCAGTAACCTTATTAGCCCTTATAGCTTACATCCAGTAAGGTTTCAGTCCTATCAACACCTCTCTTTTCTGCTGACCTTCTGCCACCTTCTTGCCCCAATACCCATATGCAGACCATAGGTAGCTGCAATAACAACCTCTGTATTTTACAGGCAGTCCTAGGGAAATCCTCCAGGCTGCATACCCCACAGGTTCTGACCAGTTTTATAAGAGTTTGGTGTACTGGACAGTCCATCTTTAAGGTTTCAGCTATAATCACATACTGGCTATTTAACTGCTATTCAGCATCAGTGGTGTTTACCAAAATCATCAACTTGTAGTGAATGTATGATGTTAATACATCAAACGTCTGCCTGATAAAAACTAAAGCTACCTCATACTCTTATCAGTGGCAAGAAGTTTGTCCTGAGTTTGGACATGATGTCAAGATTATAGAATCATAGAATCATAGAATGCTTTAGGTTGGAAGGGACCTTGAGAGATCATCGAGCCCAACCCCCCTGCAGTGAGCAGGGATTGAACCTGTGAACTTGGTGTTATAGGCACCAAGCTCTAACCAACTGAGCTAACCCAGCTGGTGAAGTATGCTAGAGAGAGGAGAGTGGGAGGAAGGACCCATGAAGAAGAGTGCTGTGGTCATTCTTCAGTCCCTGATCAAAGTATAGCCAGCATTTCTCCTAGGGTGAGGTCTCAAGCTGCCTACTTAAATCACGCTGTCAGGGCCCAGCTCACCTCCCTGCATGGAGCATTTGCTCCCTGACTAGAGGGATACTGCTTGCCTCAACATTAGGTGTAAGTCCAGCTCTAAGTCAGCCATGCTTTCTCATAGTGTCAGCATGGCATTCCTTCCAGACCCACCACTTTGCTCATCCACATCCAGCAGTCTGATCCATAAAGAAGCATCACCCCAGGTTTAGCTGTTGACTAACTACCCATCTTCACACCCTTGCACAGACTTTTGTAGGCACCAGGACAGAAGACATCTTGGTGGCCCCTACTGAACCCAGGTCTTACTCTACCTTCTTTGACTCCTTCCTCTTCTGGTATGGCAAACAGGATGAGCACTTGGGAGCTGAAGGGCTCTTAGGACTCATCTAAAGACTGGAAGGCTTGCAAGAGTTTCTAGTTTACATGACCCTATGACTAGGGTTAGTTCCCGGTCTGGCAGGGTCCCATGGGGAAGTGTCAGGTCTGCCATAAACACCTCATCTATTGCAGGACTGCTTATGGCAGAGGACATTCCTGTCTGCTACCAGCTCTGGGGCTCGAAGAGATGCTGAACTGGGTGGAGTTCAACACTGTTAGAGGCCCATGAGCATTGAGTTAAGGGGATGCTGTAGATTTGGTACCAGTAGGAGCTCCTTAGTGACATTTGTGGGGACTAATAGGGAGGGTAAGGGTCTTGGGAAGGCTCAAGCAGCTGATGAGGCAAGTGTTATCATAGAATCATAGAATCATAGAATCGTTTAGGTTGGAAAAGACCTTTACGATCATCCAGTCCAACCATTAACCTACACTACCAAGTCCACTCTAAGCCAATCAAGGGTAGACTAGACTAAACCATGTCCTGAAGTGCCACATCTACCCGTTTTTTGAACACTTCCAGGGATGTTGGATGAGAGTCGGTGAACCTGAGGACTGGTGCTGCTCCTGGTTTAACACTGGAGCATTGCTTTTACTTTTGGATATCGTTATCCCTCTTCAAATCTTCAAAAAGGGTTTCAGGGAGGAGCAGACCAGCATGTGAAGAGAACATAAAATAAAGAACAAAGTGGGCAGAAGGAATATGGATGGATTTACTCAAACAGCTAAAAGGAAACACAGTAATTTACCAAACAAAATGGAATTATTAAGGTGACATTAACTGATCTCTTTGGTCTTTTCTTTTATAAAATAAAGGAGGAATAATAGAGGAATAACAACCTGAGGACATCTAGCATTTCAGAGATGCTACCATTCTGGAGTCATCACTTCAAGCCTGAGAAAATTTTCTGACATTTCTTTTTGCTGTTTTCTACAGTTTGGGTGAACATCTATTTTCAGAAAATATATACATATAAGTATGTGATTTTACTATTGTTATTTCTTTATATAAAATGCTGAAATTACCTTTGGAAGTGGTATTCTTAGACCTTTAATGTCAAAGTCTCTTGCAATTGTTTCTGTAAAACATAGATAATTATAATATAAATGATTACTTGATCATAAAACCATCAATCAAACTTCCTAAATAATTTCAAAGCAATATGGCACTTCTCTCAGCAGCAGTGCCAATGCCATTTACTCTTCCAGTGATAAAGCCCTCACCTGTTTCTTCTCCCCAGAGCTCTGCCTGTTTGTCTAAACCACATTAGAAAATAGAAATTAACCACAATGCTCCTGCAACATCTCCTGCAGACCCATCCTACTGTGATAACTCTAATAATTTAACTTGTGATAGTAGTTCAGTGGAATGGTAAGTGAAGAGAGCTGATACTCATTTTTAAAGAAAGTAAAACATGGATTGCATATTTTGACTTCCTTACAGGTGTTTTCAGCCTTTAGTCTGACATCCTGCCTGAATTCTCTGGATCTGAGCCTGTGTCATATTAATGTTTGTTAGCCCCTACAACAGGGGCTAGACTCTTTAATAAAAAAAGCATTATACATGGGTGTAGAGAATCTCTTTAAAAACCCATCCAGACACTTATCTAAACAAACCGTGTTCTGGCTATTAGTAGTGCCCCTAGCTCCTCTCAAGTTTTCTGTACAGCCTAATCAAATGTAGTCTTTTAATGTCATTTTAGAGCTGACATTAGTAATCCTAATTTATAGAGATGGAAACTGCAGTACAAGGATGCTAAAGCACAGAATTTGGAAATTCTCTATTTTAGTGAGGTTCTGGCACTGGAGAACTGCCTGCTCTGAAATCTGCTGCCTGCCAAGCAAGGTGAATCAGTCTAGATTGTGGAGAGAAAAATCTGTCTGAACAGGATGATCAATTAGTCTTTTAAGAAATCTGCTTAGTGGTAAAAAAGGGCTGGCAAGATATGGCCCTGTTGTGGAGGCAACCTGCCAGGCAAAGGAAAGGCATTGTATATTTTCTGCACCAACCTCCTTTCAGCATTCCACACACTGAATATTCGTCGTCAGCTCCACTGCAGAGGACTTGTCTCCAGTGTAATGCTTCACCGCCATCATACCAGACATTGAAGACGGCCTTGAAAAAGGTGATGTCACTTCCTAGTTAAGACATTGCAGGTAAGAAAAGGGTAACTGGTGGTGAGCAAAAATACATATGCAGGCATGATATTCGATAAAAACTAGTCTTCTCTGAAATACAATATTTTTTAAAGACTCCCTCCAAAATGAACAAAAATACCTATCTTGAAAACTGTTACTTCCAGAAAAACAAAAAGCTGGTTTTCAACAAAAAAAATCAGTCTTAAAATATATTTGAGTGAACAATTTCAAAATCTGTTTCAATTTCTTCAGTGAAAATAACAAAGTTCACTCACCTTCACAGGTAACCCAAATAAATACTCAGATGAGGACTCTGTAGTTTTAAACAGGTGTTGCAAACAAACTGTCCTGAATCCTGGTAGCCATCATAAAGATATCTTTCTAGGGAAGCAAACTGCCCCCAGATCTGGAGTTTTTACTCAGAAGGTGAAGTTTATGATACAACTGTTTCATAAGTAACTCAGCTTGCCAGCTTAGAGCTGTGTTTAAAGATTTGTTCAAAGTTGGGTTTGCATACACAGTCCAGTACCATTTCCAGCTTCTGGAACACGCATACACTTAGTAGAAGCCCTGCCATACCTGGCTGGCCTAATGATACTCTCTGTCCTTACGAAGACGTGGATCTTCTTCAGGCCAGAAGAGCGTGAGCTGCAAAAGCTTGTCTGCTTCTTCCAGGCAAATGCACATGCACCTAAACCTTCTCAGATTTGCATGTACAGTGCCAGTTAGCATGCAGAGCTCTGGTAATTGCTCCAGCAAGTAGAACTCAAGCACACTTATTTTCACAAATCATTATCTCTGTCCATTATTATCGTTTATCTATTCCACTTTTAATCATAGAAACTGATCTCCTAAACAATTTGACAATTAGGATGAAGTGTCAGCTTTTTGCTTGTATGCATTTTTTTGCATTTGTAGAATATAATTCTCTAGTCAAGAGGGACTCACTGGGAATCCAGGTAAGAGCAGCCTTCCAGATGGTATTCACGGTGCTGCAAGGTGTCACATTAAACTTGAAAACATGATCTGTAGAATCTAGAGGATAAAAAAGTATTTCGTATTGTTAGTGTGAATAGGCTTCTCCAGTAAAATAATAAAAATATACATATATACACATTTACAATAAACACATACACATTTAAAAATATATTTAAGGTATATACTATACAATTATCTAATAAAAATATCCATAGTAAACATTAAATATGCATTTTAATATAATTTCTGATTATGTATATACTTAGAAGGCAAAACCAATATCATTACTTTGAAATTAAGTAGTAAGAAAAGTCAGTCATTGGGTTGATGAAATTCTGCACACAAAACACAGAGGCAAATGTGCCTTCATTTCTGTTTTGAAGTTACACAAACTTTTATTAGCATTAAGCCAGCATGGTCCTCTGCTGAAAATATCCCTACTTATGCTAACCATGGAATCTATATAAACTTGCTGACAACAGCTAAATATGTTTTTTAATGTACCAGCATATTTTCCAGGGTAACGTAAATGAACATTTGAGTAGATTTGCTTTGTACCCACCTAGCTTCGTACAATGCACAGTGTCAGATGCAGCGTGATAAAGCATCATACAACCTGTATCTAATCAAATTTAGATCCCATTACCTGATTTTTAATTTTTAAAAAAAATCATTCAGTGACAGCCTTTGAAAGGATTTCCAGTCGGTATTTTTGTTTTCATTTTAGGAAATAAGTCTATGCAATTCAGCTTGCTTCTGCCCTCCCTAGTGTGCTCAGGCTGACGAAGTGCCCTGCTTGCCGTGGGCCTGGAGGCAGGGTGGGGAAGGGGTGCTCTCCGTGCTAATCTGGCTGAGCACCAGCTGGAGCAAACAGGATGGCAGGGTGATCTACAGCGAGGGGTTCGCGCTTGTGTGTTGGGGATTAAAGCAAGGGGTCTGCAAAGGGAAACTGTCCGGCTGTTGGTAACCAGCAGTCAGCGTCTCATCTCGGCTACGGCCACACATGGGAAATTACGGCAGGAAAAACGGCAAACAAAACTCACCATGCTCTCAAAGGTTTGGTTTGCAAGCTTAAGTACCACCACTTTTACCCTTGTTAAATTTTTAACATGAGTATTAATGTAAAGCAAAGTACCCAAAATAAACATCCCCTCCTGTGCCTCAGTTTATATAGCTATTTTACAGGTGATATATACTGGTAACGCACACAGATTTTCAAAAGATCTGGTCTTTCCCTTGCAAAATATCTCCTCAAAAGCCCACCTTCTTGCCACTGAGTCCGCGGGGGCACACTGAGCCTGTTCCACATGGACATCAGGGTGGTGCCAAGTTGTTGCAGAATTGACCAAAAACCTCAGTGAACTGCACAGATGCAGTGGCCTACGACACAGACATGGCAAGAAGGGACACGCTATGTTGTCGCAGAGCCTAGCTGATCCTCCAGCCTGGCAGAATGTCACATTCCCCCTTTTTTTCCATATACTTAAAACTTTTCATTGTAATATATTGGTTAAATCAATGTGGATAATTTATACAATACAGTACTTGCAAAACAAGTTTAAATCCCTTATCTTCTAATATTTCCTAGATCAAAAGTGCCTGCTTTACTTGGGATAAACTCTCTTAGCTGCTGCAACCAGCATTGTGGTAATATTTACGCCTATGCAGTATAATTCTTGTAACAGCGTAATTAATAACAGAAATATACTCCCGCCGAACTTTTTGTTTTTCTGTATTCTTCAAAGCAACACATTTGAAAGAAAGTTCGCATTTCCTCAGACTACAGAAATTATTGTGCAAATGCCAGTAAGAAAAGAACAAGCTATTTTTTACTTACCACAAAAAGTATATGACAGTTCTAGATCTGGCGACGCACAAAGAAATTCACTAACTCCAGGGGTGAATAAAATGAAAAAAAGAAGTCCAAACATAGTTACTGATTTTCCTCAGTATTTGATGGAATAAAACTTTGTTTCGGGGAAAGAGGAACAAAAATTTAGCCCAGTCATCTTCAGTCACATGTCTTCAGGGAATATTCAATTATTTTGTCAAATTCTCTGCAATCTTAATTAATCCTATGGCAGTCCTACCAGTTATCTTCACAATAAATTTTGTGAAGAAAAAGAATTTCTGCCTTTGTTTTTACATTTTCCCCAGACAATGCAGCTCAAGCCACGAGTGAAAAATGAAAGAGAAAACTGTCTGAAATAGGGAAGTGAAGTAAAATTATGATTACCAGAAGAACGTAAAGGGCAAGTTTAGTTGACTCACCAGACGTAACATTTGTTAAGACATGATTTCAAACACTCACGAAGTTTCCTGTACATAATAAAGAAGAGACAAATCCACAAGTGCTGAAAACCAAGTCCACTCTTTTATTGATAAGGTAGTCAATAACTCTCACAAGTTTTCAGAATTAATTTCTTACAAAGCTGACCGTGCTTTAAGAACACGCCGGAGAAGTGTAATTAGATGATTGTCCTGGTTTTGGCTGGGA